TATATATATATATATATATATATATATATATATATATGTATACAGTACTGTTTACTGTATATATATTTTTTGCACACCATTTAGATGATTCATATTTTATGGAGGATTGTGTCAATCGTTACCTTTGCAGATTCTGGAGGCGTTCATGCCATCATACACGCCGGAGGCTCTGTTCATTCGTCTGTGGATGCGCTAATTACAGCACTAGTGGAATCCGTCAACAATCCATCAATATGGCACGTGGTCTGCCTCGTGGTCGAAGCACAGTTCGAACATTTCTGGAAAGTCGCCTCATCCAAACTGATGAAACTTCAAGCAAACCGCGATTATCCTTCAGACAAGTGGGTCGAATCTGCGGCAGACAAAAAGTACTTTGAAATGGCTGCCCAACGAGGGGCGGATGTGGTGAAAAATGAAAGCATTTGTCTGCTCTGTGACCGTTCGTCAACTATTGAGTGCCCTCGAACTCTGGGTGGTCTTGGGATTGTCGCGCCTTTCAAATCCTCCAAGGATTGCGTGTTGCTTACGAAGGAAATATGTGCTCCACATTCTGCCTCGGTGTTTGGCTCAGTGGAAATTGCGCACAACATCTGTTTTGGCCACACGTACCTCGATCATCGCGGTGTTCCCGAGCCAAAAATGACCTCTTCGCGCCTTGGTCATTGTGGTACTGGAGTAGTCGGAGGTGTTCAAGGAGTGTTGCAATTTTTGGATCCTCCGGGGCAAGACGCGGAAATTTCTCGTTGGAAAGCAGAGCCAGATCTTGCCCAGTTCGTGAAGGAACTAAAAAAAGTCACGGGAATCGATGAGGCCTTGAATGTTGCGCGTAAAAATGTGAAGAATTGGAGTCTTTGTGGTGATGAAGCCCGACAGAAGCTGGTCAGGACGTACATCAGTGAGGTCCTGAATGATCGGGAAAACTTGATACCCTATTTTCCGGATATGGAGGAGCTGTGTGAAAATGCATGGAGAAACGTATCTGCAGAGACCTGCTGCATCCAGAATGTAAGACATTTTCAATTATGAGCGTCTCGTATGCAGTACTGTATACTCTGTATTCACGGCAATATGCAGAGGTCATGCTTCGAAATCTATTTTTCAGGCATGAACTAGATGTGGAAGAAGTGCTTGGGGAATTCTAACGTTCTTCGCAACATTGTTCGCAAATGGGAAGATAATATTTGAAAAGGGTACAGTAGTTGAATTGGCAAGCCAATGTTTGAATAGAAAAGATCGCTACGGGTAAAAATGTGCGAAGATGTCTCTGATTTTGATTCGAATGGTTATTTTTCAATATACAGTACAGTAGTAATTATATTTTTCCAGGCTATTCTTTCAGTTTGACGCATACTGTACATAGTTATACGGGTGTTCGATTAGTTGATGAGATACTGTATATGGATTGATCCTTAGAATATGTGTTTACGTGTCTAGATTCCCTCGTGAAGTGGCATTTTGCCTGCAATTGTATGCGTATTCACGATCGTTGTGCCCTGCAATCTAGAAATATGCATCTACTACTGCATTTCAGTAAAATTTGTGCATGTTTTGGCAGAAAAAATAATGTAGAACATTCTCTCTTTCACGATTTAGGATGGAGATCTGCTGCGGGTTCAGCGTTTGAAAGCCGGGAGGGTTGCGACGATTTTGTCTTGTCACGAAAATTGGCTGAAAGTGTTCCTGCACGTGGTGCTTCCTCTTCTTCGTGTCGGCAATGCCGTCGTTTTTGGAGTCTCCACGGATGCCAAAGTGTTTTTTGCAAAGCTTGCCAAGAAAATTCATGGATCTGAAGATGATCCCGTATTCCGTACGGTTGAACTGGGCACGGACAAAGGTCCCACCTTGTCGCACTTGGCGGCCCAGGCAGCCAAATCGAATGGATCTGAAGTGATTATTTCACTCGCTGCTTCCCCTGCGTGCAATGTGGCAAAATACGTGGCGAGTGACAATGTGAAAGACGTTTTTGTATGGTTGTCAAGTGAGATTCCTTCGTGGAAATTTATTTCCTTGGCCGCGTTCACGCACGTTTCGATGATTCAGAGGTTCGGAAGCACGTTTGAAAATCTGAAAGTTTGAAGATTTTGGCTGAATTTGGAAATCGAGCGTGAACATTCCTGGTATCACCCAAGTGATAGTATGCCATCATTCCGAAGGAAATGTATTTTGACGGGGTAGTTATTTTCATTTTTTTTTTCAATGGAAGAATAATGGTGGCATCGTAGTGAATCAATATGCAAGACGTACAAATAACAAGACTAACCCGAGAGCTTCTAAGCCGCTTTGGTTTCATAGCTGAAAATCCAGAGCTTGAATCTAGAATGGGTGGGACTATCCGGGAAATATTAATAATTGTTGCACTAAACGGCTAGTTTTATTTTTTTGCTGGGACGATATGGTGCATATATTTTCTTTTACCGTTCCATTGGCTTTCGTTCAGTGCTCGGAAAAATGTTTTGCATGTGGAGAATGAGGATTGTCCATGATGAATGTTGATGTCTAAAAACTGACTGCGTGATTTTATTCCGTTGAAGTGCGACTTTGTACAGCTTTTCGCGATAGGCATGTATTGTCAGTGTCGCGAAAGGTGGAATTTGTCAGTAAGAGCAGAAAGATGTCAACGTAAAGCCCCAAGGAACTGGCTGGTGAAGAGCCTTCACTGAGTTATTCCTGTAGCCCTATGTTAAGATGTAATCAGGTTTAGCCGTTACACCTGTACTCGAATGCTGAACTAAATTAGCCTGATTCCAACGGCAACGGGCTCGTTAATCCAGTTTGTAACGGACTTTTGAAGGGAACAAAATATGCGCAATCCAAGTCCTGCTGAAGGCTTCAAGGCAGGAAAAGCAACGCGTTCATGATGTCATCGGCTATCGTTGCTTACGGCAATCACGACAAAGCCTTTGGGCGAGTAGTTATATTCCTTAAAATATTTCTTAAAAACTTTTTAAAATGTTGAAACAGTACTGTAGTTTATTGAAAAAAAGGGTAAGAGAATGCTTTTCAAATAAATTTAATTTTTGTGACGAAAGAAATTTTACGAAGACGTTGAATTCCTATTTTAAACCGAAATATCAACACTTACAGCATTTCATGATTCAAATTTCATAATTTTGAATTTGAAGATAGACTTGAATTTAAAAAGTTTTTGCTCATTTTTACATTTAAGTACAGTACGGTACATAATTTTAACTCCGATTTTGCTAATATGAAAACCCTTTTGCACGAGTCAGCCACCTTTGCACCCATTGCTATTTCCTCCAGATTTTATATTGCATATGAATTTTTTAAATGAATTTCCAATGAATAGAAAAAAATAGTTTTCAAATATTCTCGAATGACCAATGAAATACACGAACGATTTTTTAAGTTGCATGGAATATCTTGCAAATTTTGCGGGCAAAAATGTATGCATAGAAAAATGAGGAAAAAAAAGAACAGTTGCAATTTTCGCCTGACGTGACGAATTTTTTTCACCCTGTCAAGAACTCTGATTGTAACTGGAAAGTTTTCAATCATAAATATGCAGTAAATCGAAAACCGTTTTTGATGATCCGAAAAAATCCCAAAACCTTGGAACATTGTGGACTATATCATTACTTAATTTTACAATTCCCCACCACCCCCCCCCCACTCTAAAATTATCAAGAGTTCTCCTCCAACTGAGTCAACCCTTGCAGTTGGAGGTAAGAGTGGGGAGATGTTCCCTTTGATTTTTTTGTGAACAGCTGAAAACAATGTAAATTACTCTCACCGTTGTAATTTGGTTCTCGGTCATCTCACGTTTGCGGGAATGCATTAATTGCTAATTTTTAAACTGACCTTGAACCGACTTGGCGTGAAACCATGAATATGCTCTTAAATAGCTACCGCTGACTCCCGTCGACCCATACGTTCGTATTACTGCTTAATTATTCGGGACTGTGCGATTTTTTTTTTCTTCTTAGAACAGGGGTGAGTGCAATGTGCTGCAGTTCCGGGCTGCGACAGCGACACAAAGATGTCATACCGTCCTAGAAGGACGGACCACAATCACGTAATCGACGGCGAAGAAAACTGGTTTCCTGGGAAAAGACGACCAGGCACGGGCAAGGCGCCCGTGCCGAGTGGTCACGCGACCAGCACACAATTCCCGAGACCACAGCACAGGTTCTTCTTACAGTTCATGCTGGCAAATCTCGGGTCTTCGTAAATACAGTACTTATTCTTGTTTTGAGCAGATTTGGCACCAGTGCCAACTACTCCTCGGGACGGTCTAGGAGGCAAAGCAGTGTCGGACGCAGTTATTCCCGCAGCAGTCGCAGTGCGAATCGCAGTGAAACGGCGAATAATAGTACTCGTCGACGAGTGTCGACGACGAGCACTCATCGACGTGATGCACCGCGGAAGGATTTCTTGAAGCCTAGGCATTATCCTCCTCAGATTCTACGCATTCCGAGATCGGAGGCATCAAATCATGCGAAAGGTGATTGATATACAGTATATTTATGCGAGGGTTGTCCTACTAGGGCGCGACCTTGGTTATTTACTTATTTCTAGAGTGACTATGGCTGTTGATGTTCTACTGCGACTGGAAAGAAATTACGAAATAGCACATGAAGTTCTAAGGTTCTGGGATTTTTTTTTCGGATTTTCAAAAACATAACAATTTACTATCCAATGATGAGCGAAAACTTTCCAGTTATGGCCAGAGTTCTCCAGCATCCATATCGCAGGGTGTTGAAAAAATTTCAAACCCACCTGGAACATTTAAATTTCGTTGTTTCAACCAGGTTCTTTTTTATATTTTAGACAGCGGTTTTAAAATTATAAATTTTGAGTTGGCCTGACAAATTTTTCTCTCCCAGTGACATGAGCGGAGAACTCGGACCGTAACTTGAAAGTTTTTACTCATCATGCAGTAAATTGAAAAATTTGCTTCGGAATCTGAAAAAAAAACTCGTGGGCTATATCATGTTTTTTTTTATCAATCTCACCTACTATAAAAATATCAGAGGTCACCTCGATTTGGGACAACCCTCTGATGTGTCTTTATACATTTTTGTAAAATGCTAAAAAATTGTGCCAAGGTACTGCTTGTTATCTTTGCAATTGGTGCTTGTCATCTCATGCTTGTGGGAATGCATTACTTACTTTTTTTAAATTGTAAATACACGTTTTTTTTTCAAAGATGTTGATCCAGAGCAGCACCCACTGCTCGTCGGTGATTTCACGACAACGTCGTTGGTGTTGAGCCAATATGACGATCGACGACACAGGACAGTTGGTGGCGCCCCTTCCCATGAAATCCCGAGACGAGGATCCAACGACAGTAATGAAGACGTTAATCCGGATCCTCCGGCGGATCCCACACGAGTCTCTCATCGTGACTCACTCAGCAGCAGAGGATCCACTGATGGCTTGATGATGCGCAACAGAACCCGCATCACATCTCTTTTGAATGAACCGCGTGAAAATGTTCTCAATGAAGGGATTCTGCGACAGAGATCGGCTCAGGATGAAGAGGACGAGCGAGCGTCCAACGTGTCACCCAATCCAGCGGGTTCTGTAGTTGGGTCTGATCCGGGTTCGGTTGAGGTTGGAAGGTCGCCGAATGTCGATGGGCGGGCGTCGGGGGCGTCTCAGCTTTCGGGCCAAAGAGCCACTGGTGATGATGGAGAAAAAGAAGACGAAGAAGAAGAAGGTGGATGGAAGGCCATGGGTGAAGATGATCCTGATACTCCGAGAGGAACAAAGCATGACTATTTGGATGATGGACCGCAGCAACCAGGAGATGAAGGCGTTCCGTTGAAACAAAGTAGTGCTAGGGCCAGCACTGCTCGGGATGACAATGGTGAGGGAAATGTGTTTTTTTTCTTTTATTATATTTTGCTGGATGGCACTTTTATGCGGAATTCGAAGAAACCCCTGAATTTACTGATCCGTCTGTGCCACTAAGCAAGGATATTACACAATTAAAACATCAGTTACTCCTTTTAATTACGCGTCATATGCAGGTATAAATTGTAAAGGATCCTAAAACCTTTACATAGTTGAATCGCTTCTTGTAGTCAAATCACCTGTGGAAAATATTACCGTATTTACTCAAGTACCATGTGCACCTTTTTTTCTCAAATTTCAGAAGAAAAAAGGGGTGAGCATCATAAGCGGAAACCAACTTTTCAAGAAGTTTTAGGATGTTATGTGTGCGTTATACTTAATGATAATGGAGAAATTTGGAACAAATGTAACAAGCAAACTTTTTTGTACTGAAACAGTTGAAAATTGATCAGATTTTTGTTCAATTCATGCCTAAAGTCAAATTTTTTGTTCTTATTTTCAAAATTTTGTGGTTTTAGATTCACTATAAATTGGGGTGCGCATCTTACTCAGGCATAAGATTTTAGCAAAATTTTCAACTGAAAAACCCCTGTGCGTGTCTTACTTGAGGGCATGTGGTACTCAAGTAAATACGGTGAACCCATTACTTGAGAAAATGGATTCAATTGAGAATGAGTGAAATGTAAGTTCAGTTTCAGTTAAATTCAAATTTTGATCATTTTTGAAGTATTGTACTAGGGTTGGACCAATTAAAATTTTATTTCACTGAACAATATGATTCAAATTTATACAGTAAATTTATTACTGTAATGTATTTTTTGACTGAAATACTATTTTCTTTGGAAGGAAGAATTTGATCTCATGGCCAGTGCTTATTGAAATGCCGTATATAGGAAAGTTTCGGCATCGCAGTCTGCCATTTTTTTTTGGAAAGCATTCATAAAATTTTACAGTATGTGTCACTGAATATTTTTTTTTCTAGTTACTCACTTTGTTACAAACCTATGCAAATTTAGAAAAGGAGAGCCATTTTAAATACTGTAGTTCAAAGAAATGTACTTCATTTCATTGTTCAATAAAGGTTTAAGCTTTTTTGCATGCATGCATATAATATTGAAAGTAATTCGTGTTTTTTTTTCGCAGAACCACCTCCAGGAGAAGCTGAGGCACTGGATAATGAAATCCCTCCTGATGAAGAAGGCGGAAGTTCTAAACGACCCACCGAACCTCAACCCGAACCATTCAACCGCGATGTATTTTTGATGTCCATCTTGTTGGTATTGGCTACTTCTTATTCCTGGAACGTAATTCAGTCATGTTCAACAGAGCTGAAATTTGCCATGCCAAATATTTATGGCAAACGGGGTTGGATGGCTCCCTGGTACCTGGCGTCTTTGCTGAGAGGTGCGGTTTCGTTGGTGAAATTAGGTGAGTCATGTCGGTTGCTGCAAAATTCCCAAACCTTTTTTGAGTCCACGGACCAGCAAATTTTCTGAGAAAAAAATTCTGCGGACCAGCGAAGTTTCTTAAAATTTTTGCAGACTCATCAAAAAGCTTTTTTGAAGACAAAATGGCAGAAATTTAAAAATGTTCTGCTTTCTTGCAAAAATTAAGTCAAGAACCAATTAAGTAGCTTTATATAGAATGACTCGCTAAGTTTTTGAAAGACAAAATAGCAGAAATTAGAAATGTTTCTGCTTTTTTCGAAGATTGAGTCAATAACCAATTAAGTAGCTTTACTGACTCAGAAAGCTTCTTTTGAAAGACATAATGGCAGGAATTTAAAAATGTTCTGGTTTTTTTTTTGCAAAAATTACGGCAAGAACCCTAAATGGCAGAGATTAAAATAAATTTTTTCTGCCTTTTTTTGCAAAAATCAGATCAAGAACCAATGATTTAGCTTTAGTGACTCAGAAAGCTTTTTCTGGAAGACAAAGAGGCAGAAATTGTAAAAATGTCAGCTTTTTTGCAAAAATCAAGTCAAGAGCCAATGAAGTAGCTTCAATGACTCAGAAAGCTTTTTTAAAGAACAAAATGGCAGAAATAAAAAATTCTGTTTTTTTCAAAAATCAACTCAAGAACCAATGAAGTAGTTTTAGTGGAATTTCTTCTAAAAATTTCCAAAGGTGGGCTTTAGGAAAGGTTTCTCAGAATGGAAAATTGAAATAATTTATTTCAACTTGTGAAAATGTGTCCAAAGTGTTATTAAAAGAAAAGGCAACTTCTGTTTTGCATCAGATAATTTCATCTGTCATTGTCTTCCCAAAACTTAAGGTAAAGATAACTGACTTCATTGTTACTTTCCATAAATTTTATAAGCTGAAGAAAATTTCCCGTGGACCGGCGCTTTGGGAACACTGAATACAGACGGTGAAATCACCTGTTTCCCGAATTCTTAAAATGGTTTCTCAGCATGATTAATGAAAGATCATTTGAATTCCGTCAGGGGAATTGTACGATGATGGCGATCAAGTCGACCAGTTGGACAAATGGACTGCGGTGTTCATGAAAACCCTGGGCATTGCATTATTGACTGGAGAACTTCAGTGCGAAGTTTTGATGACTGGATTGCCCACGTCTCCAGCCTTCTGGTTCTTCCTGGGGGCAATTCCTTTCGTTATGCAGTTGAATGCGGATCACGACCCCGATTCTCCATTTGCCCGAATACCCGAAATTTATCTGGGCTGCTTGATTTTCCTCCAGCTGTTGATGGGAATTTCGGCCAAGCGTTGGCTCATGCTCTTCAACCCGCTCATCTTGGGTTTGACATTCTTCGACCATGGTTACTCGTTCAGCTCGGACGTGTACTTGTACATGATCTTGATGAACTTGTTTTATGCAATTGCTATTGATAAGCGGCTTCATGGAGGTACTTGTCCTCCACCTGGACCTCCGAATAACTGTAATCGATGCGGATGAGTGATGGTCACTCCTGATTTGTTTCTCAGCGTGTGTATACGGTATATATATGTACCAATAAATCGAATATTTTCCGGGGCGTTGTACTTCTTAATCCCTTCAAATTGTCATTAGAATCCAGTACTTGAATAAGGAATGACTTCAGATCAGGGGAACAAATACGACTGCGATATTCGAGAACAATTTTGGATTTCTGTTTATAAGGGAGAAGTTTTGCGCGAAGTTTTGATTGACCACATTTTGGTTCATTTGTACTCGGGTGATTGACGATTTCAGCATTATTCCTCTATTTTTCGAACCCAGCAAATATTATCCCATACTTTCAAATATCGATGCACTAAAAAATATCAAAATTTGAGGCGCTTTTGGAAGTTTTATTGATACATTTTTCTGGTCACATCACGGTTGCCAACCTCGGAAATGTTTTGTCTAATTTTGGAGACTTGTATTTTGATTGGACTGCCACATCAGATCGAAGCTTGAATAAATTTTGATTCTACAGGAATTCAAGAAGTGTACAGTAAACTCTGGAATTTATTCATAATTTAGATTTACGAACTTCTGAAAATTGAAATTCACCACTCAAAAGTCTCAAATTCTTAATTAATGCACTGGATTTCATTATATCATGAATTATGTCTGGAATGTATTTCATTTTCCTACAGCAGAAGATTTTAGCAGATCAATAAATAAGTGAGCTTGAAATTTTCATACGGGATTTACTACAAGGAAAATCTGCAGGAATTTTTAAATGTTCTGCTATTTACACCTTATTTTTTAAACATTTGTTTCGATGAAAGAAGGGCATCCCACAAAGAACAAATGCGCATCACACGCTAAAAATATTTCTTACAATAGTCAGGTTTATTTTGCTGGTGGAACAATTCCTGTATATCAGTACTGATGACAAATATTGTAAGTGGTTTCACAACACTAAAAACAAGCGCAAATCTATTTTTCAAGTTAGTATTATAGTCCGCTCCTTGCGTTTTTCTCTCGATGCCTGTGTCACTCACGGAGAGCCAAGGAAGAAACAAAATTTTTCAACAAAAAAAAAAAACAAAAGCTTGAGAAACACCAATTCAACATTTTCACAGCTAAATTCTAGTACAGTGCAGTACTTCAATCTTCTTCGCCCAACCAAACCCACTTAGGTACTCAGAACAGTAAAATAAAAATACAGACTACGGCCCAAAAAAAACCTGATTAGTTATACATACGTTCATCCAAATGGGCTAAACATGTCAGGTTCGCATTTATTTTTTACACCCATGGGGAAAATTGAAAACGGAATTGGTTACCTGGCTCATTTGAATTGCAGTGGTTTCCTTTTTCACTTTTCCGTAGGGAAACCTGTTTATTGAGTGATTGAACAAGCCTTATACAGTACTCCAGTCTGAGGGATATAAGAGGTTTTTACGCACAGTTGAGAGCGGTGTAGAAGCTACTCAACAAGTTCCTGTAATAAAAAAAATCAATAAATCTCAGCCTATTTTTCCCAGCGTAATTGCAGCAGTAAGGCTGAAGATATGACTAAAGTCTCATTACTACAGGGTTGGCCATAAAAAAGTGAACCGATTTTCAACTCACAATAGCTGAGCAGGAAATCAAGCCATGGCAATGGAAAAAAAGCCAAATGAAAGCTTGTTCAATTCCCTTTTGAAAGGTATATATTTTCATTGTTTATCAAACCATAAACATTTTGAAAGAGAATTGATTAAGTTTTCATTTGGCGTTTTATTTTTCATGAAATTCTGGATTCATATACTTCAAGAGTTTATGAAACTATGTATCTTTCAAAAGGGCATTATACAAGCTTTCATTTGGTCTTTTTTCATTGCTACAGCTTGATTTGATATACTGAGCTATTGTGAGTTGAAAATTGTTTCAATTTTTTTCTGGCCCACCCTTCATATTTATTGCAAGCAGGACATTACATCGAAATTTGAATCAAAATGAATACGAGGCAGTTCTAAAGTTTATGACGCATTGTTCATTTTCTTTTCAATTTGTAAAAGGGCTGATGTATTTATGAACCATTACAATTCTGAAGACTTCTATACAAAATCCAGAATTTCATAGGTCTGTGTATATACCATATGGCATATATCATCTGATGGAATTCCAAGCATATATACAGTGGTATTCCGACGGATGCCCCGACATATGGACAATCTGAATTAGGGACACTTAGAAATGAAAAAAATCTGCTCCCCAATATGTGGACAATGACTTGACATGGACAATTTTAAACCATTTCTGTAAAACTTTAAAAAATGTTTTATCTACATTTTAATATCCCTTGAAGAAATAGAGCTACAGTAATTAAATTCACGAATAATTGAAATGACTTTCATGATACAATTATCCTAATTCATAATCACAAACGGCTAATCTTTTTTTCTCAGTTTTTTCCCATCACCTGTGCACAGTTCTGTATATCTAGACTTTTTCTTTTTCTTTGCTTCTTGAGCTCCATCTGATTCCAAAATGTCAGATTCCCTGTGGTTTTATTGTGATTTATTTTCTGCATCTTGAAGCTGGGAATGACAGTTTTATTCAATTTTTTGGGGACTGTATTGCCCCCGAAAAATTGTTGTAATTTGTACCAGAGGTGAACCAATCAAACACGTTCCAGTTTTAAGTCTACGGGTGAAAAAATCCGCCATGCCTACGTTCCTAAGAATACAGACAAGGTCCAACCACCACCAATCATGTCCGCATCTCGGGGTTCCACTGCATTATATTTGCGACTCAAACAGTATATGGAGTTTGCATGTGCATATGCCTTGAAAATGGTACCCATCCACACCACAACAAAATAAAAAATAAAATAATTTCAAAAGCCTTCTTCTAATGAAAAATAGTGAGATACTGCTAAAAAAAACTTTATTTCGTCGGCACAACAGAGAGGTTTCTCACCTGTACACCGGCACACTTTCTGCCTAGGCAATCACTGCATGCTGTTCCTGTGCTTCGCCCGGGAGTGGGATCAGCATGAGAAGGGGGGGGGGGGGGGGGGGGGTAAGGGTCGGATACCCCGCAAGCCACAGGGATCCCTGGCACTTGCCAGCGCCAGATGCACGGACGCTCCAGAGCCCCATGGATGCGTCTTACATGCTTCCAATCTTCAAGGGGGGTAAGGGTCGGATACCCCGCAAGCCACAGGGATCCCTGGCACTTGCCAGCGCCAGATGCACGGACGCTCCAGAGCCCCATGGATGCGTCTTACATGCTTCCAATCTTCGTTCCGTGTTCCCACCACCAGCAAATGAAAATTTCACGAGGAAAAAAATATTCATAATAATAATAATAATAAAAATAATAGTCCAACCTCTTTTATACGTCAAACTTTAAAAAGGGACAAGCAAAAAAAGAAAAGTTATGGAAATTTTTAATGCGCTATTTTCAAGGGAATTCAGATGGGGAATTTAAAAAAAATTCAAGATCTGGATATATTTGACTTAGAAAATTTTAGAGCTATCGAGCTTCAACTGTAATAATAATAAAAAATAATAATACCAGGCCCATTCAAAGATAATATTTTTTCTGAAAATTTAAACCACGATAAATAAGCGGTGCAGAAAAAAAAATCGGCGACACTACTCCCCCCGGAAATATTGATCGTGAGTTTGTTTCTCGTGGAAATGTAAATTTTCACTTCGTGATCGTGCAAAAAAAGTGTTCTCATACTTTTCTTCGTTTCTCGGAGACAAGAATCCAGAAACAGATTTTTTTTGTTGATCTGTATCGCGTGCAATTAAATAATCGCATCAGTGAACGCGGGCATAAATATACATCAATATTAGAGAATCCGAAGAACGAAATCCAGGACGAATCAACAAAATGAACATCTTCCATCAGCTCGGGTGAGTCTGGCATAATTTTTTTATTTTTTACTCTATTCGCGGAAAATTTTCGAAAATATAGGGCCCGCGTTATGCTGAGCCCATTATAAACAGCATGAAATCCCAGGTTCACACGCTTGAAGCAGTATACTGTATATACAGTACATTACTACAGTACACGCTTTTTAGTCAACGGGTTTCAATAATATACAGAATTAACCCAGTTTATTTCCCTCTACGCTCGGGGGATTCATTCTTCTGCTGGAGGGTATCAATCAGGAACACAGCAAAAAGGCTATGGATGATGGCTCCAGCCTGCTGCTCAGCATCAAGCAGCAAATGTGCTTGGCTGGTTACTCAGAAAACGACCTGCTGGTTTGGTTGGAGAGTTGATCCTTTTTTTTTTATCTTTCTATTCTTTTTTTAAAAAAAACCCTCCAGTCTTTGCTGTCTGCTTTTGGTCGACCACGACCTCAACGTGCGCTTTTATTTGGGGTTTGGTCTTACGGCACTCTTTCGGTCTGCCTTTTTTCAGCAGGGTACGACTCATAAGTTGGGCCTGAAAGCTTTTGAACGTTTAGTCAAGCACTTTGAGCTGAGAAACCGAACCATTCCGCACAAATAAGAGGCATGAAATAATAAAATCCCAAAACCTTTATGTACATATACCGCAGAAAATGCGTCATACGCCTTTGCAAAACGAAAAAGTCTTTCTAAGATAGTACACGCCACAATATCAAAAAAAGCTGGCCGAGAAAAAAAATTTCCCGGAAATAAATACTGTACCTTCAATGGATAGATGGAATTTAAATAAACCCCAAACCAGAATGCCGTGAGAAAGCCGGAAAAAAGGGCCAATCGATATGCAGAATTTACAGTAAATATTCTTTAGAAAAATTGCAAGGAGTCCAAATTAGGGAATACTGTAATTAACTCTCAATAAAACCTTCCAAAAATATTAAAATGGTCTTATTCTGATTTTTTTCAATTACACATTCTCTATCTAGGAACTGCAATGAGTTCGAATTAAGGAATAATCAACTCTCAAAAACATGCTCCAAAAATATTAAAATCGTCGGCTGATTCTGAATTTTCTGTAAATCGAAAAAAAAGTCGTCCCATGCTGAGTATTCTTGGGCCTGGAAGGTTTTGAACGTTTAGTCAAGCCCTCTGAGCTGAGAAACCGAAAAATACCACGTAATTGAGAGGCATGAAATAATGAATCCTAAAACCAGCTTATAAATATAAACAGCAAACAATGCGTAATACGCCATTGCAAAACGAAAAAGTTTTTCTAAAATAGAACATTTCGTCATCAGAAAAGCCGGCAGAAAACAAATGTTTCCTGAACACAAATATCTTCAATCGATAGGCAGAATTTACAGTAAATACTGTTTATAACCACTGCAAAGAGTCCGAATTAGGGAATAATTAACTCTCAAAAACATCTTCCAAAAATATTAAAATGGTCTTATTCTGAATTTTCTGTACTGTAATTCGAAAAAAAGTCGTCCCATGATGAGCATTATTGGGCCTTAAATGTTTTGAACGTTTAGTCAAGCACCTCGAGCTAAGAAACCGAAAAATTCCGTATAACTAAGAAGCGTGAAATAATTAATCTTGAAAACTTTCTGCATACGGTACAGCAGAAAATGAGTCATGCACATGTGGAAAACGACATTTTTTTTTATAAATAGCACGTCACATTATCAGAAAAGCCGAAAGAAAAAAAATTAATGAAAAAAGATCTTCAAGCATTAGGTAAATGATTTAAAAAGCTCATTCATAAGAAATGCACTGCAAGGAGTCAAAATCAAGGAATAATTACCTCACATGACATCACCTATAAAAAAAAAATTAATTTAAATTCATTCTGCATTTTCTTGACTTTTCCCCTCATCCGCGATAAATTCCGTCTCACTAGAAGGAGCTTTAAAGAGCGTTTGCTTTAGTACAAGGGATTGCGAGAGGATTATACCATCTATAATCTTATCGGATAAGCAGAACCCACACACACACGGGTTCCCCATCGGACGAAGAATACATCCGGCATTTAGTTTATCCCCCTCGTCCTTCGCCCCATTCTTTTCCGTGCCAATTCTTCTCGGGTCCGCGCTTTTTTTTTTTTCTTTTTTCTACGCCGGGTTCAGAGAAAGACGCCGTGGTATTGACGGTTAGGACAGCCAAGTGTCTTCTTCTGCCGGCGGTTTGTTGTTGTTCTTACGCAGAACCGTGCTGAGTTTTTTTTCTTTTCTTTTCATTTATTTATTTATTTACTATTTGAGAAGAAGAAGAAAAGACGCGAGGGGGGAAATCGTCAGGTTCTATACAAGCACATGTCGATTTGCTTCAGGTAGATTGTCTAACCCCCGCGTCTGCCTAAGCAAAACACAGCCGACTCCAAGTGGCTGGTCCACATTTCCCGGCGCACATCCGTATTTTTTCTGACGAGAAAACGGATTCCTTGCTCTCAAGCAAAAATTAGGAAGAAGAGAAAATGTTCGACGATGGCAGGAATAAAAAAAAGAATACAAACACACACACGAGATGTTACACATTTCCGCGCGGACTCCAAATGATTTGAACACAAGTAATAATTTAAAATCATTTTTCTCATGTTCACTGGTTCCAAGAGGCTAGGCAGACACCTTCTAAATGTAATCATCACCAATTTTTATACACTTTGCAGTACTTTTGGTCCATATCTGTTGAAACAGGCCTTGAAATGCTCAGTTGATGAATTTTAAAGCTCCCCAGCAGAACATCAGCAACACGCTGATCCGCACGGAACCGTGTAACCTCTGGCAAATGACATTCAACAAGGCTTCCACGTCGAACTTTTTAGATCATTTTTTTTTTACAGAATTGGATCTCAAAGAGTCAATCATTTTAGATCATGGCGAAGTTCTCCGAGCATTTTTCAAGTTTAAACCAGAAACCGGGATAACTCGAACCTCCAGAAGTCCACAACTAAATTATGTTGAATTGTCTCAAGGCCTTGTCTGAATTCCCTCGAAAACATTCAATTGAAAATATTCCTAATTCAAAGGCTTTGCTCCTCAAATACGCATAATTTGAATATCCTGGAAGCCTTTTGATTTAACACAAGAGAAAGAAGAGCAATTAAAATGTAACGATGTGTTTTGAACGGAATTGAGATGCTAATTGGGCAAATAAACCCTTGCCTTCAACTTCATCATCCTGTCACCACATTCAGGAAGTAATTTAAGGTACGGAATATCACCAATTAAAATTTCGCGCGATTTTTCTTTCTTTTTCCCGATTAAAATAATTGTTTATTTATAACTCGAAACCTCCCTAACTCGAATTGTCTTGTTAGTCCCCTGAAGTTCGACTTAAAAAGGTTTGAAGTTTAACTTTACCTTGATTCAGGCTAAATGTAAATAAAATATAGAAGGGCGTTCCAAAAAGCAGATTTTTCGGCATATCCAAAGGAAAATTACACTGTTCACCAGAATATTCGAAATTTGTCATTCCAGAGCTCAAGTCTATTGGGGTAATATTCTCCCTTAAAAAAAGGACCATTAGTTGAAAAAAAACTACGATTGCTGCGAAGTTGAATACTTGAATTCATTGCAAAAAATGGATGCATCTGGATTTTTTATGCTTGTACTCTAAATAACTTCCAATGCTTATGCTTCACATGGTTAACTTAATATGGCCAAAATTTCAAAAAGAATGGCGCTGATGACGAGATTCAGTTGTTCGGATTTACAGTATTTTAGAAATAGGTTAATTTTCGTTTAAAAATGCGCGATTTTGAACTCATTGATTCAAAGCAGTCCACCTCTGATCACTCAACGGAATACTGGGATATTACGTTCTCTCAAAAAGTGATAATTTATAAATGAAAAAATCCAAGCATAAAGTCTCCAAAACTAGAAAACCTAAAAAAAAGACAAAAGGGTTTATCAAGAGAATGAATCTTTCTAGAAAATCGCAGGACTCCTTCAGACAAACCCCCTCCTCTAGAATTAAATTTATTGAAAATTCAGGATCTAGGAAAAATTAAGACAGACTATTTGAGACAGGACCAATTGGAGACAGATACTTTTGGAGACCGTGACAATTTAAGACAGAAACTTGTTGAGACTTGGAAAAATTGAGACAAATACATTTTGAGAATTTGAGACATTTTGAGAATTTGAGATATTTTGAGAAAAAAGGACTTGCCTGTGTTTCTCCCTATTATCTTATGTTGAAGGTGTAAAAATGGACAAAAATTTCACTGTTCGGTGAAAAGTGCATGATCCCAGGGTTTTTTTTCTTCTTGTCATGAAGTGAGTTTTCCTTTATTGTCATGGAAAAACTCAAATCTTTGAACCATCCTAAGCAGATTTCTCTTGTCATCAGGATAGTTTTTGTCTCAATTTGTCCCTGTCTCAAATTGTCCTTGTCTCAAATCGTCCTTGCCTCAAGTTGTCCATGTCTCGAATTGTCCCTGTCTCAAATCTTCTGTCTCCCATTTGTCAAGTCTCGAATCGTCTGCCTCGATTTGTCCGTTATATTCCAAAAATTAGATTGCTCTATTTGTTACCCATATTTTAAGCGGGCCAGAAAATTTCCCATGTGATGAGGTGGGCCAAACATGGACGGAGAAAAGATGAATGGAAAGCTTAAAGAATGATAAACAGGGACAGATTGGCGGAGATGGACGCCAAGAAGAAGTACAGTACCTGAACTCAAAGCCACTCTTCGCTCAAGGATGCATTTTTCTTTTCCCCCTCCAAATACATATAGTCCCTATATACAGCACAAGGAAACCAACGACGAATGCAAATATCATCGACATCATCATGTCGTAGGCAGTTCGGAGATTCGAACGTCAAAAAGCTGGTCCCGCCTTGAAATCAGCCATGAGCCCATTTCTTCCTATATACATACAGCTGACACATCGAAATTGAAACGTCGACGGAAGCATTTCAGAGCCTTGAATTCATTTCCTATATATTCGTTATGGAAGAAGAAGACAAAAAAAAAACGCCTCGAGAATATTATTGCAACAGACGGGAAGTCGAAAACGAACGTGTTCAAGCATCCGAAGTCACTCGGAACATCGAACAACATTTTTTCGCCGCCGCCGCGGAAGAAAAACTACGCCACACGTGACAATATATATACATACACACACATACACACCAACACGGCACTGCTGCTCCCAATAATATGCACGCGTGAATGCAAAAAAAAAAAAATGCAGAAAAGAACGGTTTTTGCGCGTCCGAGGACAGAAAAGAGTGTATCGACGAAGAAAATAGCGACACCGAAACATCGTCCCGGACATGTTTTGGCACAGTTATCGACAGGCTTTTCGCGACACTCACACAACGCCCTATCTGAACGCGAACGAAAAAGAAATATTCGAGGGCCGGTTCATAAGTCTTGAGACTTCTTTGAAATAGCTCCAATAGAGTTTCAAAAATTCCAAAAAAATTGTTTTTACTCTCATATTCCCATCATTTGGCATTACTTCAGTGCTGTTCAACATTATCTCACTTATTTCAATGTCATTTTGTCATGCAATGAATCTAATGATCAAAACAGTGCCAAAAATTCCATAATTCCATTTATTAATTTAGATTTAAAAAAAAGAGAAGGCAAGATAATTGGAAAAAATTGGCAATCAGCCTTTTGAGGCCAAGAACACATCATATTCAATAATTTGCATTATGTTTTTTCACGGTCAAGAAAATCAAGTATTCCCCACGCAATACATTCAAATCACAAGATCACATGAAATAAATTAAAACATCAGATTTTTGCACAAACCAGAATAGTAAAAGAGAGAGAAGATTGTCATCCAAAAATTCAGGAAAGACTGCTTATACACTTGAAGTAAAAATTAGCTTTTATTATTTTCTTGGAATTGACTGATGGTCAGGTGATCTGGCCAGAAAATTCCATCAGATTTTCTGGCTTCTGATTGGCTGAAATATTACATAAATTGAGCAAATCTTGGTGTGCATCATATCAGCTGATACGTGAAGACAATTTTAAATGGTATCCTCTTTTTGTTTCTCTCATCCTCAACAGAATTACTGTTAATTCTGATCATTGGATTTATTGCATGAAAAAAAATCTATTGATAACAGCTGAGAGAATGTCAAACAGCACTCAAGTGTTGCCAAATGATAGGGCTAAGCACCTTTAAAAAAAATTCAGAATCGTTGAAACTCTGATGGATCTATTTTAAAAAGTCTCAAGACTTATGAACCAAACCCTTGTACATACTTATGTGTGTGTCCCCCGCACTATACACAGCGTATAGCAAGCACAACGACGATTACCCCCGCGCCACCGGAATTTTAACTATCGTTTCGGCCGAAAATTTTTCCTCAAACCATCCCTGTGACCCGACAGAAAATGAAACCCCCCCCCCCCGTATCCCGAGAAGATTTCTCTTCATCAACCCCCACCGTTCACGACTCGTGGCCACACGAGCTCGTTAAACTGAATGATGATCCACCAATGGGGGTCGAAGAAGGACGACGAAAAGACGTAGTAGAATCCTCGTCAATGCAGTTCTGAGGGATATTCATCCTTTGATGAAGAAGGGGTCTTGTTTGTCGTTGGAACACTTGCCTGGCGATTCACACTTGAAACGACTACCTCAAACCATGCTTTTGAAATCTTAATAACGCGGGAATGAACCGGAAATAAGAATCACACACACACTTCAACGGTCGTTTTGCAAGCAAAGTACGAGGCCAGAGAAACATTCCAATGACACCTTTTTGCACTTGGCTGTGTTGAGGATTTTTGGAAGAGTTCATTAGTTCATTTTGGCGTAACGGGAAAAATAGCGCAAAAAAAAGAGCCAGGCGTGGAAGAAAGGAAGGTAGGCTATAGTTGAACAAACCCTCGTGTATTCAGGGCCATGCTGGGTTTTTATAGAGGTTTTTTTTTTTTATAATGGTAGTCAGGACCCTGCCAAGAATACGTTTCACCTCCTGCAATTTTCCGCAAGATCGCTTCCAGAAAGAATGTGCAACTTTTGCTCTCAAGTTCGCATGTCTCTGCCAATTCATCAACGCGTTTCCATCAACAGCTATACAGTCTATGTTGGTTTTTGACATTGTCTCCACAGAGGGGCATTCCGTGTAAGTAATAATCCAGCTTTTTTATCATCTTATTGTTAATTATTTGTCGAGGCATTGTTTGAAATAAATTTATCAGTTCGCATTCAGATGTTGGAGCAAGGATAAGAGTTGAAACTTGTCAACACTATAGAACTGATTTTAATCTATAATTCGCACAATATTCGACATCAAATAACTAACTGATAGGCCAAAAAGATGATCAAGCTTTAGTTTAAATTGGCTAACAGATAAAATCGGTCGCAGAATTCCGGCTAGTTTTCGACTCAAACGCAATTACGGTCGACTCTGTTCGTCGCTTAAAATTCGTGACTTCTGCTAATCCTATTTTCGTGTTGCTGTTTTTTTTTCCTTGCGTCGCCCATGTTTTCGTCAGCGATCCTCTTCCTCCTTTACATGCAAATTCATTCCAGGGGGACGTATAAAAACGTTTTTTTAATGATTTATATATAAATGCTAACGTTTTTTCTCATATAAGATATATCGTGTGTATATAAATATATATATATATACCTTATGGACGGAGTATATAGTCGTGAAATGCGATTTAAAATGCACGCATGCAGGAAGAGCGGGAAATGGACTCATCCTGTGGGTTAATTAGGCAGTTAGAATTTCCCAACCATTTTCATCTTTTTTTTCTAATGGAAAAGCTGAGACTGAACGCGACGAGGATCCCATAACACGCACTTGAGGATCATCACGCGACGTCAATTAACTCCGTCATCCTTTTGGCTGGCAATTTATTCTCCTCACGGAAAAAAAAGAAAATAACAAAGAGCCCCAAACCAGACGGAAAATGAATCACCGCCTGAAGTTAAAAATCCAATATCCGGTAGCATTTTACTTCAAGGGAGTGGAAATTCCGTGAGGGGGCTTTATAGGTTTATATATATATATATAAGAGGTAGATTTAATCACGAAAGTCGTAAACAAAACTTCAAGTTATTCGTGCCTTCGTCGCCAAAGAACCACATGTAAAAGTATGAGGGTTCGCTCGGGATGATATACATGTCATTTTCCTGGGGGGTGGTTCACCATCAGGTTTATATAACCCTCACGAAAAGATTATAATCCTTCTGCAATGTACAAAGTCAAATTTTCTCGTCGCCCAGATAAATAGCAGAGTTATTAAGGATCATCAGAAGCTTCCTACTTTTCCAGCATTTTAAGTCGGATTTTTAGTGCGGCCCTTATCATATTTCCTCGAGGTGATTCAAGATGATATTTCACATTTATTTTTCGCTGATCTTTTATTTTATTTTGTTGGGGTACAAAGAGTACCAGATCCACAAATGGGACCCACGGTATAGGGCATGCATTATCAAAAAGAAGCACAGTTTTGAAGAGTCCCAAGTCAAAAAATAAATCGCTGAATTCTCCACAAAAAATTGTTGACTCTCAAAAAAATGTATAATATATTTGGGTCATTATAAATGCCTCAGCATGTCTTATGAGGACTTGAAATCAAGTTATGAAAGGGATGCTTCCGGATTTTTGGCGAATTTCTAAGGAATCTTCTTCCAATATGTTCAAAATCAGCTGAAGTTCATCTTGACGAGGAATCCTCTGAGACCTTAACTGAAATAATGAAAATGGAGACCAAAAAAAATATGTATAAGGTTTTTCTTTTACCGAATTCAAAGATATGCCAGGATAGGCGAAGTATATAATTATGCATCAATAATTTTCACCCGCTTTTCAAGTTTCTGCATCAGCGTCATAAATTGCAACTTTACAGTATACACCAAACTCAAGGCAGCAACAGCAAAGACATGTTTAATTTAAGTGTGGATACAACAAGGTCCATTTATACTGCGCTGAGTCGTACTAAATGCATGTTCAGTACAGTATAGTAAGTGGTTCCACAATATAACCCAGAAAATGAGAAAACCCGGAAATAAAGTGCCTCCCACGCAATATACAGAGCCTTTTATTAGACGTCCGAGTTCCGCAAGCTTCGAATGCGACCAATTAGCCGCGGGATCAATAGACAAAACCCTGAGCTGGGAAATCCGAGCGGATTTTCCAGCCTGGCGCCAAGCCGTCACCACATAAGTGACATGCCAAGCTTTCTTTTTTTTTTCAAACACGTCACACAACGGCACACAGGCCCATATATACAACGGCACCCAACGGCACACGACACACGCGCTATACTTACTGCTGTTGTAGAAAATGAGGGTGCGTTGGACATTTGACAGAAAAGTTGGTCCATGTGTGGGCTCAGGCACTCGAGCAGTCCAAGATCCTTCAGAAGTTCTGTATAAGGTATGAGGGCTAAATAATGGGTCACAAAATGGGTATATACGACGGGGTCTAACAAATGTTCTCGGAATTAAAAATTGAAACTATTTCTATTATCGGAAAATAAATAAAAATTGAAACGGCATATGATTGAGTTGAAAAACTCTTATTAAAACATTCTTGGCACAATACAAGAATCAGCACTGTTTGATGCATTTTTGAATTTTTCTTGTGTGTGCAAAAGTCACACACCCTAGTAGCTTTGTGCTCAAAAGATGATGAGGCGCCCATCTCGCAGATTTTTTTGTGTAGCCCAACTTTCCCTTCAGTAAATTCTTGAATTTTGATATTGCACATAAATTCCAAGGGTTCCCGTCTTTAATTGATTATTGCATCCGCAATTTTCACCAACAGCCGCCACTCGGGATGAGAATGTGATGCATTGCAGAATTACCTAAAGAAAGACCTGGAGGCAACCCTTGACATTAATGAAATGTTGATTTCAAGAATTTTGAAAGAAAAGCTGGGGTGCAAAAAAAAATCTGCGGGGTCAGCGCCCCATCTTTCAAGAGAAGAGCAGGGAGCTGACAGGGTGACTTTTGGAAAAATAAAATTACTGTATAAAAATATGTCAAACAGATCTGCATTTTTTATCGCGCCAAATAATGTTTTTCTAAACAACAAATGTCTTTCAGCTCAAATCATATATCGTTTCAACTTCTATCCGGAAAACTTTATTTTTTAACCCCTATATAGAAGGGTTTC